AATTTTATATATGAACCTCAATATTGTGGACATGCATGCACCAGAAAGGGAGTTGGGCTATAGAGTCTGAATCTTATTATATGTTTAAATGCAGGAACTCCTTGTCGAAGTGTTTTTTTAATATGAGATGAATAAGTCCTAAATGGGCATCATTTTATCAACGTTTTTACACTGTTGTGGTTAAGAGAATATATAAGGTTAATAGTTGATGATCTGGCAATTTTGCAGACTGTAATTGGAAACTTTCTCTTGGATGCTTTTCCATGGAGGGTCTGCAATTTTGAAGTAATGCTTGTCTTACTAGTCAATGTAGACAAAAATGAACTTTCTCGTGAGTACACTTAATTGGTCAACTACCCCAAATTTCAATCATGTCTGTCCTTCCATTATAAAAGGTAAGTATGTTATCAGATTCTTTCAGGTTTGATGCATTCTGCAACCCATCAAGGAGTGAAAGGTCACTTCAGAATGCTTAAAAAATCTAAAAAAGTACCCTAACTCTTCTGAACTTGATGAAGAAGAGAGACAAGAATGTAACCTTACATTTCACTTCCTTTGATCAATTTATAGATGCTCAACATATTAATACTATGAACCTCCCTGTTATTAAAACCAACTATAGCCTGTAATGAAGATGACTAGCTCAAACCCTCAATTCTTGAATTAAGGGCATATGGTTAGCCATCTGTAATTTTTTTGTTCAGATATCTGACAAAGTTTGCACTGACCTTAATCAAGCTATAGCGTGGGAAATTTTGCAAAACAATACAAAGTTTGCAGGGTTCTTTGGTTCAAGTTCAGTGGGCTTTAATTTTGAAGAGCTACTTCTGTCTACTCAACATTCTACATGAATTTGACTAAAGTACAATAGCCCAACTAAAAGTATATATCAGCAACTGGAAGCATCAAGCATCTCTTTGGTGTTATGCATGCTTAATTGTATACACAATTCTTGATGTCATTCAATTACTAGACCCATTACTACTGATTATGGCATAGAAATCAGTAGTTCATGTGTGGAAATTCAATGACTGGATAAAGCAAGCCACGCATATACAGTGCCTTTTCAATTTCTTCCTTCAACAATCCTGTTACATAAACATTAACACAGGTATGGAAGATCACTAGAGAAGAGTAAGCAACACAATTATACATGTTTGGGGATTGGGAAAATTTCCCATCTAATGACTAATCTTAGTTGCACGAGTAATATACTTAAACAACGCGGTGTTATATATTTGGTTACCTTTATTTTCACTCTGTTAAGTTCCAACCAAGCTCTTTAGTTGAAGGGGGATATAATATTAATATTATAAGGTTTCTTGGTTTGGAATTAAGTGAAACTTAAGGTGATGTCTCCCTCTGTTCAATGAACATGGCCAATATCTGTAAAATTAATCGTTAATCATGGTCAATGACTATTCTCTACAGGCTCACCACCTCACGTTATTAACACGTTTCACCCAAAACCACTCATGTTATTAAAGTTTATTAAGATAACTTAGCGCAAAAAAAAAAAAAAATATGTTGTCTTCGTGCAATTTCTTTTATTTCTGTCAATTCTGGGCTTTTTGTACCATTCTCCACATTTTAAGCTTAAAACATTTCCTCATGAAGAATTAAATATTAGTCTATTAACTTAGATAGTATTCATTACTTGTAGGCAGAATTAAATATATACAAACCAACTTACAATAATGACTAGTGACCAATAAAAAATATACGAGGATTATAAAGCAAGATTGCAGTGGTTACGTGAATGAGTTAGTGAGAGACTGGCTTTCCTTATAGTCTGGACATGCCCGCTTTCTTAATGTATTTTTATAATGTATCCCACCTTCCGAATATATAGATGTAATCAAACTGCAGATATCGCCCACCTGAAACGGTAACGTGGCACTGAAGCAGAAGATCGACTACGAGCGTCTATAAATATAACGTTCTAGCGGCCCTATGTATCTTTAGATTCAGTAGAACAAATCTGAAGTTATAAGGACGTTTTACCAAAATCCAAAAACGAGTTTTTGAATTGACTTATATCTCAAATACGCTGTAGGCCCTATATATACCATAACTCAGCTCTCAATTGTTGAACACTAGAAAAACTGGAAAAAAATGATGTCTTCATGCATTTACCTTCTTTTATTATTAGCTTCTTCATTGACAATTTCAATTCCAATTCAAGAAAAGTTTTTGCATTGCCTCTTTGTCAAGTCTGAGCTTTATGTCCCTTCCTCCATTCTGTACGTCTCCAACACTTCTTCATATTCTTTAATCCTTCTATCAAATGCTCAAAACCTCAGGTTTACAGGGTCTTCAGTCCCAAAGCCTGAGTTTATTTTCACGCCTTTGAATGAATCCCATGTCCAAGCAGCTGTTATATGCTCCAAAAAGCTAGGAATTCATATAAGAATCAGAAGCGGAGGCCATGACTATGAGGGGGTCACTTATGTATCGGAAATTGAAACACCTTTCATTGTAGTAGACCTTGCCAAGCTTCGGTCCATTAGTATTGATATTAATGATAACAGTGCTTGGGTTGAGGCTGGTGCAACAATTGGTGAAGTCTACTACCGCATTGCTGAGAAAAGCAATATTCATGGCTTTCCTGCTGGACTTTGCCCGAGTCTAGGCATTGGTGGGCACATCACAGGAGGTGCCTATGGTTCATTGATGAGAAAATATGGTCTTGGTGCTGACAATGTCCTCGATGCCCGAACTGTTGATGTTAACGGCAGAGTTCTTGACCGAGCAGCCATGGGCGAAGATCTATTTTGGGCAATAAGAGGACGTGGAGGAGCCAGCTTTGCAATTATTATTTCATGGAAGATAAAACTGGTTCCTGTGCCACCAACATGTGACAGTTTTTTCAGTTAGAAAATCCCTGGAACAAGGTGCCACAAAACTCCTGTACAAATGGCAAGAAGTTGCACATAAGCTTGATGAGGATCTCTTAATTAGAGCACTGGTACAACTGACAAGCGCAAGACAAAAAAGCGAGAGAACTATAAACACCAATTACTTTGCCTTGTATCTTGGAGGTGCTGATAAACTCCTGCAAATAATGCAAGAGAATTTCCCTGAACTGGGATTGACGCGGAAAGATTGCATTGAAACTAGCTGGATCAAATCTGTAGTCCATGATGCGCTCTACCCAAGTAATACATCTTCTGAAATTCTGCTTAGACGAAAGCCGGTATTTAACGAGAACTATAACAAAGTGAAATCAGATTTTGTAAAAGAACCTATACCTGAAACCGCGCTTGACGGGCTATGGAAAAGATTACTGGAAGAAGATAATCCACTAATGATACTGACCCCTTACGGTGGAATGATGAGTAAGATATCAGAATCCAAAATTCCTTTCCCTCACAGAAAGGGAAACATATATGAAATCTTTTACTCGACTAGTTGGCAAGATGGAGACGAGAATGAGAAAAAGCATATGGAGTGGATTAGGAAACTGTACGATTACATGGGTCCTTATGTTTCAAAGTCCCCCAGAGGTGCATATGTGAATTATAGGGATCTTGATTTGGGTATGAACAGGAAGAGTAACAAAAGTTTCATTGAGGCTAAAGTTTGGGGAGAGAAGTATTTCAAGGATAACTTCAAAAGATTGGTAAGAGTGAAGACCAAAGTTGATCCTGATAATTTCTTCAGCCATGAGCAGAACATTCCATCTGTTCCATTGGAAGGCTAGAGATGGTTTGACTGGAACAAAATTAATCTACGTCTTGATCGCAATCTTGCACAGTTTTTGGTTAAATTTACAGAATAAAAGCAGAGAAATTGGTATTTTATGATAATTCTTTTAAAGAAATGTCACATGTAAAAAGTTTTTGCATACAATTGTATAAATATCAATGTATAACATTTTTAACTACCTCCGGGTGACCGAGTGATTCGATAGGGATTCTTGGGTGTATTACTCAAAAGGTCTTGAGTTCTAGTTCCTCTTCCGTTGCTAATAGAGGTAACCATTAGAGCTCTTATCCGGTTAATAGTTCCAGAGTCTCGATGAATTAGTTGAAGTGCCTATAAGATGACTGGTACAATCCCGGTCATTAAAAAAAAAAAAAAATGTATAACATTGTTCTTTTATTGTTAAGTACATTAAAACAAATTGTTCTTTCATTGTTAAATATCAATGTCAAGACTCTAATCATGAGGGATTAAACAATGAAATGTCCTCCGTATGCATGGTATTATAATTAATAAACTTGAAGAAAAGAGAGAGAAGATTAAAATTAACATTAATCATGAACCAATTTAGTACTCCTCATATGAGAAAATGACAAGGTCATCCCTGAAGTTTGGTACAACTAAACTTTAATCTTGTAGATTTTTTTAGTAACATTTTGGACCTTTTTTTTGCTTTGGTCCATGTAAATAGAAAATCTTAGGACCAAAATGTTATTGGCAGGGACTAAATCGTTACTAAAAAATTCAACAAAACTAGAGTGTTACTATACCAAATCTCAGGGACGAAATTAGGACGAAATTTGACTATTCTCTTATTGGAGAAGGCATACTACGATTTGCTGTAGGCTCCATTAATCAATTTCTTCCAATCCTTTTTAAAAAGCTTCAAGATTCGGCCAATATCAATGAATCATGATTCATACACTCTTGCAACGTTAGGATTAGCTCAAATACACGTCAGGTTCACAAAGGCCATAGCTTAGGGACAAAAGATGACTCAAACTCTCATTTCTCCAACAGGAAATACTGAAACCTAGAAACTTAAGAAATGATGACGAGCTCAAGCAATTAGATTCTTTCATTACTTTCATCAGTTCTTCTGTCATTAGCTTCACCGATAACTTCAATTTCAATTCTAGAAAAGTATATTCGATGTCTCTCTGTTAATTCTAAGCTTCCCATTCACTTATCCACTCTCTACACCCTGAACAATTCTTCTTTTACCTCAACTTTACAAACTAATGCTCAAATTGTGAGACATTTTCCTGATTGGGCATGTCTATTATCAAAAGGTCATGTATCTTCAAAAGGTCATGTACCTTCAAAAGATCATGTACCTTCAAAAGGTTGTGGTCTTATCTCAAAGGGGTTTCCAAAAGGTACCAACAATCCTGTATAAGAAGTAAGATTTTCAGTAAAAGTACACAACAAATAAGACTACAATTCTAGTATAACCAAAACTCTCTCAAGTCTGCTTCTGTTTTGTGCATAACACAAGCAGGTTCTTCATTGTATCACAAAGAAATTCGCTGATCCTATTTGCACTATAAAGGGGCGAAATTTCCTTTAGAAAAGTGGCATTGATACATACCTTGAAGTTGGTAGTCACTATCCTGGTTCTAACAATCCCCGGGTACACAGGACCTTCAGTTCCAAAGCCTATGTTTATATTCACACCTTTGCAGGAATCCCATTTCCAAGTAGTCGTATTTACTCCAAAGAGCTTGGAATTCATATGAGAATCTGTAGTGAAGGTCATGATTATGGAGGGTTCTCTTATGTATCCAAAATTGAAATACCTTTCATCATTGTAGACCTTGCCAATCTTCGAACAATTAGCATTGATATTGATAACAACAGTACTTGGGTCGAGGCTGGCACAACAATTGGTGAAGTCTTCTACATAATTGCTGAGAAAAGCAATATGCATGCCTTTCCTACTGGTTCTTGCACAAGCTTAAACATTGGTGGGCTCATCAGTTGAGGTGTGTATGGTTTCATGTTAAGAAAGTATGGTCTTAATGCTGATAATATCCTTGACACCCGAATTGTTGACGTGAGGGGCAGAGTTCTTGATCGAGCAGCCATGGGCGAAGATATATTTTGGGTAATGAAAAATAACTGCAAAAATGAATTTCTTTCTTATTTTAGAAGTTGGAATACAGGGGAATATATATACATGGAGTATGAACTACAACCATTCAACAAACTAAAATAAATTTAACTAACTTAATAACTTAATAACTAATTCTCTAACTGCATAACAGATTATGTAAATAATGCTAACTACTGTAACTAATGCTAATTGCTGTAACTAATGCTAACTATTTTTTGATACCCTTCCGCAAGCTGGAGAATGGATGTTGATCATTCTCAGCTTGGATAGAATGAGCTGAAATGGAGCAACACCAAGAGGTTTGGTGCAGATATCGGCTAACTCTGAAGAAGAGTATGGCATGAGATGAATGAGACCCGAATGAAGTTTTTCACAAACAACATGGCAATCGATTTCAATATGTTTGGTGCGTTCATGGAAATTGGATTAGCAGCAATCTGCAAAGCAAATTTGTTGTCACAGAAAAGTAAAGCGGGATGAGGATGAGGGACATGGAAGTCTTGAAGAAAGTATTGAAGCCATTGCAGCTCACATGTGATAGAAGCAAGTGCGCGATATTCAGCTTCAGATGAGGAATAAGAGACAGTGGGTTGTTTCCTGGCTCCTCAATTGATCAAGGAAGAACCAAGAAAAATACAAAAACTAGTGACAGAACGTCGAGTATCAACACAACCAACCCAATCAGAGTCACTAAAGGCTTTGAGACTCAAAGAAGAATTAGTTGGAAAATATAAGCCTTTGACGTAACAGAGGACTCAATGAGCAGCTTGAAGATGAGAGGAAGTTGGTTTATCTAGAAATTGACTTAATTGCTGTATCACAAATGCTAAGTCAGGACGAGTGGCAGTTAAGTAAAGTAATCATCCAATCAATCGCCTATAAGAAGAATTATCAGGAAGAGGATCCCCATGGACTTTGCTAAGCTTCAAAGAAGAGTCTATAGGAGTCTTGGCAGGCTTGGAACCAAGGAAACTAGAATCAGATAAGATGTCAAGTGCATATTTACGTTGACATAAAGTAATGCCCTTGTGTGTTCTGGCCACTTCCAAACCCAAGAAGAACTTTAAATCCCCCAAATCTTTAATCTTGAAAGTATTATGAAGACAAGCCTTAACAAAATCAATTTCCACCAAATCAGTTCCAGCAAGAATTAAATCATCAACATACACTAAGATAATAGTAATGGAATCAGTTGCATGTTTAACAAATAGGGAGTAATCATAATTAGATTGAAGATATCCCAAAGAAAGCAAGGCAGATGCTAATTTGGAAAACCATTGGTGACTAGCTTGTTTAAGGTCGTAAAGGGACTTCTGAAGCTTACAAACTTGACTAGAATTAGAGGAAGTGAAACCTGGAGGCAGAGCCATGTATACTTCTTCAGTAAGTTCACCATGCCAAAAAGCATTATTAAAATCGAGTCGCTTGAGATGCCATTGATTAGTAGCTGCTAGTGCTAAAAGTAATCTGATAGTAGTGAGTTTAGCAACAGGGGAAAAGGTATCAAATTAATCAACACCTTCAGTTTGTGTATACCCTTTTGCAACTAACCTTGCCTTATACCTTTCAATAGATCCATCAGCCTTGTATTTGATTCTATAAACCCATTTTTAGCCGACTACAGACCTACCACGAGGGAGATCAGTAACCCATGTATGATTTTGTTCAAGAGCAGCAATTTCAACTTGCATGGCATCTCTCCAACATTGATGCTTAATGGCTTGGGCATAAGTTTTAGGTTCAAAGGCAGTAGAAATGGCTAATGTAAAATGTTTATGTGAAGGAGATAAATTGGAGTAAGAAATAACAAAGGATAAATTATACAATGTACCTGAGTGGAGACGAAGAAGATTAGCCAAAGTTGCAAGATGACAATGGTAATCCTGTAGGTAAGATGGAGCTATTCGAAGTCTATGTGATCGAAGAAGAATAGACTTCGAACAGGGGAATCAGATGTGGAAACAAGATGATCAACTGAAGATGATTCTTGGGGTAAAGGTGCAGATGGTAGAGAAGACAATTGAAAGGTTGAAGACAAGAAGGGACTGATGGGATAACATAATCAAGGGAAGGAGATTCTTGAGGTAAAGGTACAGATGGAGACAATGCTTTTGTAGTGAAAAGAAAAATTGTTTCATGGAAAAGGACATTAAGAGAGACAAAAATTTCTTTTGAAGCAATATCCAAAAGAATGTAGCCTTTAGTTCCAGATTTATAGCCAAGAAAAACACATTGTCGAGCTCGAGAATCAAATTTCAACCTATTGGCAGACAATGTAGATGCAAAACAAAGTGAACCAAAAACTCTGAGACTAGTTAAATCTGGAGGTTCATTGTATAAAAGTTCAAAGGGTGATTTATGTTGCAAAGATGGAGAAAGAAGTCTGTTAATCAAATAAACCGCATGAAGAGCAGTGTAGTTCCAGAAAATTTTGGGTAAATTGGACTGAAATAATAATGACCGAGCCACATTTAGTATATGTTAATGTTTATGCTCTACAATACCATTTTGTTAAGGAGTTTCAACACATGAAGTTTGATGAATTGTTCCTTTAGAAGCATAAAAAACTAGCATATTGAATTTAGAACCATTATCACTTCGAAGAATTTTAATCTTGGTAGAGAATTGAGTTTCAATCAAAGAAAAGAAAGATTGAAGTAAAGGCCTTGTTTCAGACTTATTTTGCATTAAGAAAATTCATGTATGCCAACTACAATCATCAACAATGGTCAAGAAATATTTGTGGCCATGTACAGAAGGAGTAGAAAAGGGACCCCCAAATATCAACATGTAAAATATCAAAACACTTATCTGATCTAGTATGACTTACAGAAAATGACAATTTCTTTTGTTTAGCAAAATGGCAAATAGTACAACTTGAATTGTTATGAAATGTAAGAGTTGGTATATATGGAGTCAAAAGTTTGATTCTCGAATTTGATAGATGACCAAGCCTATAATGCCAGACATCAAAGGCAGTATTTGTATTGGTTAAAGAAACACAAGATGGAAAGGAAGGATTAGTGAAGGACCTACACATTGTGTATAAGCCATCTTGCATTTTTAGTTGAACCAATCGTCTTCCACGAGGTCAGATCCTGTATCAAGCAATAAGTGTTTTGAAAAATAAGACAACAATGAAGCAAAGAAGTATGTTTTGTGACAGAAATCAAACTAAAGGAGAATTCAAGTATGTAAAGAACATTAGTAAGAACTAAACTATTTGTGAAAAATACAGTGCCAAAATAGTGTGTGGCGTTGCAATGTCCATTTGGTAGAGTTACTGAAACAGGTTTGATTTGCTTGTATGTGCCAAAGGAGGACAAGGGGTGAGTAATGTGATCTGCGACGCCTGTGTCAATAATCCATAGTTCAAATTTAGATGAGCAGGAGTGTGAAAAATGATTACCTGACATTGATGAAAAATTGGAAACAAGGGTGAAATTTTGATGTTGAGTGGCAACTTGATTGGTATAATGAGGTCACGATGGAAGTTTTTCAATGTTAGAGGATTGGAGTAAGGCTAATACTTGCTGATATTGCTCTTGAGTCAGAGAGATACCAGCGTCAGGATTCTCTTTTGGCGAATCAGGATTAGAGCAAGAATTTTCAGAAGACTCATTTCCTTTTGCAGAAATCACAATATGCGCAGATGAATTGCCATTTTTGGGTTTATATCCAAGTGGATAACCATGCTTCTTATAGCATGTTTCAACAGTATGGCGTGGTTTTTCGTAGAAAGTGCAGAACCGTTTATCACCATTGGCATGCTTAGTGGATGATTGTGTACCAGTATGTTTCTTGTTGAATGAATCATTTCGAATGGCTTTAGTAAAAAGTGCCATTTAGACTCCTGAATTCATTTGTCTTTCTTACTGGAGCACCAAAAAAAAAAAAAAAAAAAAAGCTTTATTGATAGAAGGTAAAGGTTTCATGAGCATGATCTGTGATCTAGCAATAGCAAACTAATCACCAAGACCTTTAAGAAATCGGATGACATAATTATTCTGATAAGTTTTGGCAACAGTAATAGCATCACAAGAGCAAGGACTCGCATAAGAACATGAAGGAATAGGTTTGAAATTTAGCAATTCATCTCAAAGAATCTTCAGTTCAGTGAAATAATCTGTAACATTTCAATCTCCTTGCTTAAAGCCTAAATTTCTTCTTGAAGATCAGGAATTCAGAAAATGTCTCCTTGATAGAACCTTTCTCAAAGATCATTCCATACATCATAAGCTTTGTTTATCCACAGAATACCATGAGTAATAGAAGGTGAAAGGGAATGAGTCAACCAAGACATTACCATGGTATTACATCGCTCCCAAGCAGGATATAAAGAATCAGTGCTTGAAGGTGCTTGTATAGAACCATCGACGAACTTCATTTATTCTTGGAAAGCAGAGCCATCTTCATTGCTCGCGGCCAAGAATGATAATTGGTAGGCGTGAGTGCTGGAGATAGCAGAACAAGAGCTAGATTTTCATTAGGATGAAGATAATAAGGGCTAGATGGATTTTGGGTAGGATCAATCTGAGTTGTAGCAGAAGTAGTCAAAGTTGCCATTGATGAATCATGGCTAGATTAACTCTGCTCTGTTACCATGAAAAATTAATTGCAAAAATGAATTTCTTTCTTATTTTAGAAGTTGGAATACAAGAGAATATATATACGTGGAGTATGAACTATAGCCGTTCAATAAACTAAAACAGATTTAACTAACTTAATAACTAATTCTCTAACTACATAACAGATTCTGTAATTAATGCTAACTGATGTAACTAATGCTAACTATTTTCTGATAGGTAATAAGAGGAGGTTAAGGAGGAAGCTTTGGAATTATTTTTTCATGGAAGATAAAACTGGATGCAGTGCCACTAATTGTGACAATGTCTCTTCTATAAATTTATTAGTTTGTGGTACGATTGAATTGAAACCTTCGTGGTATTTAAGATTTTTTTGAGCTTTCTTTACTAATCTACCATGAGACGAGTACGCACTTCCGACACTATATTTTTTAACTAGTAATTGGTTGTATGCACAATAGTTTTTTTTTTCCGCGGAGATGGAGCAACTATAGCTATATATGGCATATTTGTATTTTCCATAAGTCTAGGGGTGTGCAAAACTAGATATCCGATCCGGTTTTGCATTTTTCTAATCTGATCCAAAAATTTGGATCAGGATGAAAGCTGATTCAAATCCGATCCGGATTTTGTCTGATTCGTTTTGATCCGAACTTACATGAAAAATATCAATTTGCCCCCTAAAATTTTGCATTATCCTTTAGTACCCCTACCACATCTACATTTCATTCTTTTGATCCCCAAAGTTGTCATCGTATTTCAAAAAAGTCCACATACTTTACCATTTTTCACCTAGGATCCTGAAATAACTTCTTAAAACTTGTAATTATGGACAAAATCGGATTAGATTTGGATATCCGATTTCTTTGCAGGGCCGATTCGATATTCGATATGAAAATCTAGAGCTTCCAAAAATTGATATCCAAATCTGATCCGAATTTTTGGATATCCGATTTTTTCGGATCAGATCAGATTGGATATTGAATTTTTTTGCACACCCCTAACCATAACTCCATTCTCAATTCTTGAACCACAAGAAGCAACTTTAAAAAGGATGATGGCTTCATGCAAATACTTCCTTTTAATACTTTCAGTCCTCTTATCACCTTCTTCATTGGCAACAATTTCCAACTCTTATTGAAGAGAATTTTATGCAATGCCTCTCTGTCAATTCTAAGGATTCCATTCCTTTCTCCACTTTTACTCCACAAATAGTTCTTCATTTTATTCAATCCTTAATTCTACTACAGTACTACTCAAAACCTCAGGTTTACTGAACTTTCCGTACCGAAGCTTGAGTTTATCTTACCCCTTTGCATGAATCTCATGTTCAAGCCACCGTTATGTGCTCCAAACAACTTGGATTTCACGTGAGAGTTTGGAGCGGAGCTCATGATTTTGAGGGGCTCTCTTATGTATCTGGAATTGAAGCACCTTTCATTATTTTAGACCTTGCAAAACTTCGATCCATAATGTTAGACATGCAAATATGAAAAATTGACATTACATTTCCTTGTCCAAAAAGATTACAAACATTATTATGAGATATATTTCTTTACTTAGAGAAGATTACAAACATTATTGTAAGATATTTCATTTCTTTATTTAGAGAAAATTATAAACATTATTGTGAGGATGTTCAATAGATCTGATGATTAATTGAGAAATGGCACAAGTTGGTCTGACCCAGTTAGAATATATATATATATTCTATTTTCTTACTTAGAAAGGGATTACAAATTATTGGTCTAGTTGACTCTATATTTAAAACGTCCTTCCTAATTGTATATTCTATTTTCTTACTTAGAAAGAGATTACAAATTATTGGTCTAGTTGACTATATTTAAAAAGTCTTTCCTAATTACAATACCGTCACGATCACGTTCACGGAATAAAATATATCTAATGGCCAGATGCAATCAATCAGTTTCTAAGTCAAAAAAGAAAAGTCAGATGTTTCTGATAGCCTGGCTGATCAACGGTGACCAAACCCACTGTTAATTAAAATTCTTAATTTAATAATCCGAATCTGGGCCCTACCCGCATTGATGGGTCAACTTTGGTTTTCGTTCTTTTCAAATCCCAAAACTCAACAAAATTTCATTACTACAAATTGTTTTTTTACTGGCATTTTAACTAATTTTTAAAATATTAGAATTATCGATCATAAGAGTTTCAGTGATTGCTTCTACTAATAATCAAGGAGAAACTTGAATTCAAAAAGTCTTGAATAATATATCAAAAAGGACTAATCAAACCACTCAGACCACAAACTCTTATTTCTTATGTTCCATCTTTCAACCCACAAATGGATACCTTGCCTACTCTTGAAAACAAAAATAATTTTTTTTTTTTTTTTTTTTTTTTAGGAATTCTTTTGAAATTATCTATTTATGTTCTTCTATATATCTCAAGAGACAACAAAACTTGCCCAAATCGGAATCTAAAAGTTGATTTCATATTTCATATTTAATATTTAATAATTGACTAATACTGTATTTACAACTCAATCTCATAAATTTTGTCTCACAATCCTGACGTGACAGTTCGCAATTGGTCAACTCGTAAAACAGTCCCACCTGCTCATTATGGGTCTCACCTGTCTAATTGTGAGCTGCAACGTCAGGGTTGTGACAGTAAGTTGGTAAGATTGGGTTGTGAGCCATAGAGGTGTTCATAAACGGTTAACCGATTTTCTGAACCGAACCAATTTTTCGGTTTAGGAATTTTTTTGAACCAAAATCGAACCGATTAAGGGGAAAACCAGTTTTTTTGGTTAACAGGAAAACTAGTTAACCGGTTAGTAAAAACTAGTTAACCGGTTTTGAACCAGTTTTCCCTTTAACTTATTTTTTATTTTGTTTTTTCCCTAATTTAAACCGGTTTTATATTTTATTTTTTATTTATAATAAACCAGTTTTATTGTTTTTATTTTATAATTTATTATTTTTTTAATAGATAGATTTACATATTTTGATTTTTATTGTTTTGATTTTATATTTTATTATTTTTATAATAAACCTGTTTATAAAATCAGTTTTGGTTAACCGGTTCCCATATTAACTTAAATCGTAATCGAATCGAAAAATTGGTTTTTGTATTTCTTTATATCGAAATTGAACCAATTTTTTGGATAATCAGAAAACTAGTTTGATTACTGGTTTAGTTCCATTTTTGCATTTTTTTTAATAGTCATAGTGAGCAAATCTTTATCGTTAATAATTATGAGGTGTGAGAGATGAGTTGTGTTCATCAGCATATCAACTTGGGTTTATTAATAATTACTATTAGTAAACATATGTATTACTGGTCTCTCGTGATGGATGACATAATCCGTCTCGTTCAATCATATTTTAAATATTTTAACGTTTGATTCGATCATTGAGATCGACTCTGAATACGATTAGTAAAAATTTTTCATTTACTTGATAATCATGCTTGAGGGATCTATTTGAGTTGACTTAGAAATTAAAATTATCTGATGAATAATTTTTTTGGGAATTATAAGAAATATATGTAAAAATGAGGAATGGCTAATAGTAGATCTGGGCTGGGACGATGATAATCATGCTTGAGGGATCTATTTGAGTTGACTATTAGCCATTCCTCATTTTTCCATATATTTCTTATAATTCCCAAAAAAAATATTTATCAGATAATTTTAATTTCTAAGTCAACTCAAATAGATCCCTCAAGCATGATTATCTGGGCTCGATTGGGCCTAGTCGCTCATAGGTCCCAAGCCCATGAGAAATTTCAGGACCCCAACCCAGGTCTACTATTAGCCATTCCTCATTTTTCCATATATTTCTTATAATTCCCAAAAAAATTATTTATCAGATAATTTTAATTTCTAAGTCACCTCAAATAGATCCCTCAAGCATGATTATCTGGGCTCGATTGGGCCTAGTCGCTCATAGGTCCCAAGCCCATGAGAAATTTCAGGACCCCAACCCAGGTCTACTATTAGCCATTCCTCATTTTTCCATATATTTCTTATAATTCCCAAAAAAATTATTTATCAGATAATTTTAATTTCTAAGTCACCTCAAATAGATCCCTCAAGCATGATTATCTGGGCTCGATTGGGCCTAGTCGCTCATGGGTCCCAAGCCCATGAGAAATTTCAGGACATGGACCGGTCCCTAGGACTGGTCTTGGGCCCATAGGATCGGTCCTATGGGCTTGAAAAATTATTTTTCACCCCCCCAAATTTTTTTTTAAATTTTTGGGGTCCAAAAAAATTATATAAGGAGGTTTATGTAATTTTTAGGGGCCTAGAAAATTTATTTCCACCCCCGAGAGATCAATAAATTTTTAATTAATTTTAAAAAATAATAAATAAATTAATGGTTAATTGTAATTAATAATTATTCATAAATATGAGGATTTGAATTTAAACTTCAAAGAGATAATTTAATTAATTAATTTTAACATAAATGTAATATTCACACAATGACACTTCACAAATAAATAATTAAATAAATTTGTTTTTATTAAATTATTCATCGGCAACAATATTTATATCGTTCAAATCTGTGTTCCTGATGAGTTCGAGTAGTTCAGGATCTTTAAAGTGCTGCTATAGTCTTCTCTCTACATGAGTCCAATACTGTAAACACGTTATCACTTCAATCATCTCGTTGGTTAAAGAACATCTTTTGTCTTCAACAATCCGGCCACTCGTTGAGAATGCTGACTCGGATGTAATTATAGAAACTGGCACAGATAAAATGTCACCTACCATTTGTGCTACAATAGGGAATCGACTTTGATGTTGTTTCCACCATTGAAGCACATCCATCTCACGTTTCTCCTTCTTTGTCATATAGAACATGTCCATTTGTAGGTAGCGATTTAGCTCATTTGGTCCATGTATGTATGCACTGGAGCTACTACTTTCACCGCCATGTTCCTTATACATCCACATGCTCGATTCTTGATAGTTGTCTTCATCAAGGTCCTATTGGTTGTCTCTGTTGGACATTTCAGTTCCATTGTACCTGCTTTGATATAAAGAAAAAGGCTTTCCAATTTTTGCTTAAAGTTAATCAAATAATATGTATAATCATGTCCTAAATGATGGCTTATCTCAGTAACTATACAATTAACTACGTGTAATTTAAACCTGAAATCTACAATAAGACCTAATCCATATAAGAATGGAATATCTAACCAATATTTCTCATATTTTTTTCCATCTTTGAAATAATTTCCATTAAGATGTCATTATATCTATATTTAGCAAAAGTTTTAGAAAGTTGAAGTAAAATATCTAACACTAAATTAGTAGTAGGATAATAAATATCACTTAATGTACTAGTGGATTCATAAAAAAACTTTAAGAAATGAATAAAAAAGTTCGTAAATCGTCTAATCATCATAGCTGACAACTTCCTACGGATTCTTCTGGTTGATGAAATCTGTAATTTGTCTTGCGTTTGGAAAAACTTTTTCCAACATGAAATAGGTAGAGTTTCTACGGATAGACATGTCTGTACATAACTTCAAAGGTCGAATTGGTGGATCATCTTGCTTACAATATTTGACGTACTCCTGTCATCTTTTGTTGCTATCGTTGACGATGAATCTGATAGCCGTGCGCACCCTTTCAATTTTCGAATTTATAGCTTCTAAACCTGCTTTAACAATCAAATTGATGATGTGACAAGCACATCTTTGGTGAAAAAATTTGCCTTCATCACGCGAATCCAATCTCTTTTCAAATAAAGAGATAGCAGTAGTGTTGGCAGCTGTATTGTCTAGCGTTAGCACTACAACTCTATCAATTAATACATATTCTTGCAAAACTTATAGTATTGTAAAATAAATAGTGTCAGCATTATGTGCAATATATAATGGTTTAAAACCTATCAATTTTTGTTATAAACCGCAACCATGATCTCAATAATGTATTGTGATAGTTAAAAAATTTGTTTTTGATCTATAAGCCCATATGTCTGAAGTAAGTGCAATGGATATATTCCTAAAATTTTAAAATTTATTTTTAAGTTGAATATTTATTTGGTTATGAAGTTTTAATATGTCTCTTCTACTTGTATTTCTACTAACAGGGGTATATGCTGGACAAAATACAGTTTTAATCAAGTGAATAAAAAAATATTTTCACATAAAGAAAGGGGAGAGTTCATAGCAACTATGTATTTTGCTATTTCCTCTTGTGCTTGGAGTGCATTGTATTCATGTTCACAAAGTTGAGGATTGTTAACTAAAATTAAGTTGAGTTTGAATTTGCCTACCTGGTCCGGTTGAAGATGAACCAGACAGTTGCATTATTTGGGGATGCTTCTTCTCCAAATGTCGTTGTATCGTTGAAGTCCCTTTATTAACACCGATAACGGTTCCACAGAAATTACATACTCCACACGATTCTTCCCTCTCCCCATTCACCTTTGCCCGTTTTGATGTGGTGAAGTGTCGCCATACATCGGACACGACATCTTTAATGGTCGAGGGGGTTGGGCCATGGAGTCACAGCTCGCTTGTGTTAGGCTGCACCCCGTCCCAGCTGAATGTGGTTATTGTCGTTGAATTGCAGCTACTGCCTCTAAAAAGGGTAAAAATGAATCGAACCTTTCCATTTCTTGGATTGATGGAACGTAGAACTCATTGGCCCTTCCATTATGAATTTATAATAAAATAATAAATAATTAAAATGAAAAAAAATATAATAATATGAATAAGAGATGATATTGAAAAATAGAGAAAATTGAATAATATAAATAAATAATATGAATAAATTATAAATATAAATATAAATTGAATCGAAGAAAATATGAATGAGAATTGGATTGGAGTAGAGAGATTGAGAGTTGGTGTGAAAAAAATTGGAAGTGTGAGGGATTATTTATAGTGTAGGATTGGGGGGAAAATGAAAAAAAAAACTTCCCCACCCTGCCCCCAAGCACATGACCATTGGCAGCCAACAGTCATGTGCTGTATTAATTTTTTTTTTGTAAAATACCAATTTAACCCTCAATATTTTTTTTTCGATTTCAAAATTTTTAGGAGGTTTTTGGATATTTTACAAAGGACTTTTTCGTAATTAAGCAAAAGGGTTTGAGCCTAGGCCTGGACCAGTCCCAGGCCCGGGCCTTGGAGGAGGGCCCGATCAAGGACATGTCTCTCCTAGGACTAGGCCCTACAAGGACCGGTCCTAGGACCAGTTTTAGGACCAGTCCTTTGCGTCGAGTTTTTTGAACCAATCCCAAATGCCCATGTCTAGCTAATAGCAAAGTTATACACTTGTACGGTAAAGAGAAAACTGTACTTTCAAAAAGTCCCCAAAGTAAAAATATTAAAGTGAAGGAAAATGATATACTCACCATAATCTCTTGATTAAATATTTGTCCAACCAATAGGAAAAGGGGATTAATATGGGGACACAAGAAGACACACCTTCCCTTTTGTTACCCCATGAGAACCAAAGTTTCCTAAAAAGAAATAATTTCACGTAGAAACAAATAGGAAAACCACCTACAATATTCTAAAATGTGTTCTCACATTCTCTCATGGTCTTGAAGTGGTTTTCTTCTCTATGTCTAGGTGATACATCAGATATTCTACTCTTGGTAGGAACTTATTATATTCCTAATAGAGCTCTCATAATTATTTATATTCTATGTTATTTATCTTGAAGTATGTGTGATCTCCTAATAAATTTGAAATCGCTTCCGTAATTGGGTGAGAAGATGGAGATATGTGAATTATAGGGATCTTGATTTGGGTATGAACAAGTAGAGTAACACAAATTTCATTGAGGGTAAAGTTTGGGGTGAGAAGTATTTTAAGGTTAGCTTCGAACGATTGGTAAGATTGAAAACCAAAGTTGATCCTAATAACTTCTTCAGGCATAAGCAGAGGCAGAGCATTCCATCTGTTCCATTGGAAGGCTAGGAATAAGTTGATATTTTTAGACATGCATTACCAAAAGTTAACTATAGATTTGTAACCTTCCATGATAATTTATCAAAAAAGAGTAATTGTAACTTTCAACTTCAAAGTATTGTAACCTAATCTTTCTATGAACAAAATATGTCACTAGTGTTTCGTGGCTCGAAGGATTAAACAAACTCCAATGTGGGCCTAGAGACCTAAAATACTTAAAAAAAAATTGTCACCGCATTTCTTAGGTAGCCCTTCTTGCAGCCTAAACTTTAATTTCATTGATAACTGGAGGAAGATGCCTCAACTCATTAATTTGTTTCTAACTTTTCTCGGATTTCGCTGACTTCTTCTATATGCGTATTGTGAGAGGACCTAACTCAGGTTTTTACAAATGCACTTCCTTAATTGGGCTTGGAACTAGATTTAGATAAACTTGGAATAGTGCTTTTCCTAGCTACTTTTTCTACATTATAATATTAGGGATCAATCAATGAAGTGTCGTCGACATGCATGATATTATAGTTTATATACCTCTATATTTGGAGAAAGGAGAGAGAAGATTATTATAATTAGGGTCCTTCGGTATGAATTTAGCATATTTCATTGTGCTGAAAAAATAATGCTCAAAAATTGTCTGGAGTTAATTTGGGTAAAATGTTGTTATAAACTTTAGTTTTTGTAAAGGCCATAGCTCATGTATAAAAGATGACTAAAAACACTCTCATTTCAACGGGAAATACGGAAAACCGAGAAACTTGAGAAATGGCGAGCTCAAACAATTATATTCTTTCAATACTCTCATCAGTTCTTCTGTTATCCGTTTCCCCGATAACTTCAATTTCAATTCCAGAAAAGTATATTCAATGTCTTTCTGTTAATTCTAAGCTTCCCGTTCCCTTATCCACTCTGTACACCCCAAACAATTCTTCTTCATATTCTCAAATCCTTCTATCTACTGCTCAAAACCTCAGGTTTACAGGGTCTTCAGTACCAAAGCCTGAGTTTATCTTCACACCGTTGCAGGAATCCCATGTCCAAGCAGCCGTTATTTGCTCCAAAGAGCTTGGAATTCATATGAGAATCCGTAGCGGAGGCCATGATTATGAAGGGGCCTCTTATGTATCCGAAATTGAAATACCTTTCATTATTGTAGACCTTGCCAAACTTCGATCAATTAGCATAAATATTGACGACAACAGTGCTTGGGTCGAGGCTGGTGCAATGCTCGGTGAAGTCTACTACAGAATTGCAGAGAAAAGCAATATTCATGCGTTTCCTGCCGGTGCTTGCACAACTGTAGGAATGGGTGGGCATATCACAGGAGGTGCTTATGGTTTCTTGTTGAGAAAATATGGTCTTGGTGCTGACAACGTCCTCGACGCCCGAATCGTCGACGCGAGGGGCAGAGTTCTTGACCGAGCCGCCATGGGGAAAGATCTATTTTGGGCAATAAGAGGAGGCGGAGGAGGAAGCTTTGGAATTATTGTTTCATGGAAGATAAAATTGGTTCCTGTGCCACCGACTGTTACAGTGTTTAACGTTGCAAAGACATTAGAACAAGGCGCCACAAAACTCTTCCATAAATGGCAGCAAATTGCACATACACTTGATGAAGATCTCTTCCTCAGAGTTTCCTTACAAGTGCAAGGTGCAGAACAAGATGGCGAGAAAAAAGTAACATGTTTATACACCGCCCTTTATCTTGGTGGTGCTGAAAAACTCCTTCAGATTGTGCAAGAGAGATTTCCAGAACTGGGTTTGACGCGAAAAGATTGCAATGAAACAACCTGGATAAAGTCTGTGATTTACAACGGCCTTTTTCCGAGTGACGCTCCTCCTGAGGTTCTACTTCAACGACAGAATGTGTTTAAGGGTTATTTCAAAGGCAAATCAGACTTTGTCAAAGAGGCCATTCCTGACACAGCTTTTAAGGGCCTATGGAAAAGGTTATTGGAAGGAGAAGATAAAGAAGTCATATTATTCAACCCGTATGGTGGAATGATGAACAAGATTCCAGAATCTGAAACTCCTTTCCCTTATAGACAGGGAATCATGTTTGAAATCGCTTATACGGTACTGTGGGGAGATGATAACAAGAATGCGAAAAAGGATATTGAGTGGATTAGGAATATATATGAATACATGGCTCCTTATGTTTCAAAGAACCCCAGAGGTGCATATGTTAATTACAAAGATTTTGACTTGGGTATGAACAAGAATGGTAACACAAGTTTCAGAGAGGCTAGAGTGTGGGGTGATAAGTATTTCAAAGGTAACTTCCAGAGATTAGTGAGAGCGAAGACCAAAATTGATCCTGAAAATTTCTTTCGGCATGAGCAGAGCATTCCACCACTTCCATTGAAAGGCTAGAAATGATTCGATTGAAGAATTTTTTTTTTTTTTTTTTCAAGTTTTTAAAGAAGTTACAAGTTCATTCTGTTAACTATTGTGTTTTTTTCAAAGCAATGCATGTGTTTTGGGTAAGAGTAAACGACTTTTTCCCACCCAAGGTTTGCCTTAATGACACTTTTCCACAAAAAAAGTTTCAAAATACCACTTCCTCACCCAAAGTTAATATGCCGTTACTACTTAAAGCCGATTTGATGACGTAAATTCTCTCCGTCACCACCATTTGAACCTCCGGTCTTCTCTCTACAAAACTTTTACTCTAGCACCTGATTTCTTGTCTATTGCCGGCCATCTCAAAGTTAGGGTTTCTTGCTCTTAGTTGATTTCCAGCTAATTTCGATGGCGAATATTCAATCGGTCACTACCATTCTATCCATCGATCTCTACTCTATAAAAAATCTCTATTTTGGCTCCTGGTAACTCCCCGAACGCCAGCTGAAAAAGTGAAGTATATTTTGGGTATTAATGGAATATAAACGTTGGGTGGGAAAGTGGTAATTTGAAACTCTTTGGGTAGGAAAGCATCATTGAGGCAAACCTTGGGTGGGAAAAAGTTGCTTACTCTTTGGGTAAATTTAATCTTTAATTAAGGTGCTTTGAATGGATAACGATCCAGATATTCATATTTTTGTTTGATAAAACATATCATAATTATTAAAATACATCTAAATAAGTATTCAATAATTAGTTAATGTTTTCATAAATATATTTCAATAATTTATTATAAAATAAATAATAAAATACAACAATGTCTTAATTGGTAACTCATGAAATGTTATTAAAATATTGTTGGACGTTACTTAGATTACTTAAAAATCTTGTTATATGCCCGTATCTTTTAAGTTTATCTATTTTGTTTTATGACCTTAATTGAATTTTGGCATGAAAGGGGAAAAATAACAGTTAAAGCACAATTTTCTCCATTGTTGGATATCTATTTTGTATTATAACCAATTATTTTGTTTACATATTGATTTACTTTAATTTCTTGGAACTAGACAGATTTGACCTAATATTTTCCATCTAGTTTTTCTATATTCTAATTGTAATGTATTAAATAATTAATCAAACGTGCTCTATGTGCATTATATTATCATTTAATTATAAGTTCCTGCACCATTGAAATTAAAAAAGGGTGCAGAGAAGATAAGTATGGCTATTGGTTAATTATCATCAACCAAATACTCACTACATAAAACATTGTGATATTAAAGATTAGGCTTATAATCTTTAAGGCATAATTGGGATTATCTATTGGTGGAGGTGAAATTCTTTAGATCTTCAATAATCTCCACAATCTCATATACACAATTAACCCATCTTAGGAGGGTTTTTATTTTATTTATTTTTTTTTGGGAGGGGGGGGGGGGGGGGGGGGGGGGGGTGGGATGATGAATTATCATATTATAATACGAGGAGATCCTGATGTAGAACGTCTAGCAGCTAAATCTCTAGATAGGGCTGAGCTTTAGAAGCCCAAACACGGGCAACCCAATTTTAAACAATCATCACTTTTGACCCAAGGGGAGTTATGATGCCCATAATATATCAATTTGCTCTTTTTAAGGCATTCAAAAATTATTTCAAACTTTATAACCTAAGTTTATGAGATTAAAAATTGTTTATCAATTCTAAAGGTATAGTTGAGTGTTAGCCTTACACTAACATGCTGTGTCAGATCCCTATGCTCAGAGCCTCAGACTATATACCAGTAAGGTCTAATCCATTTGGATCCCACCTTCATTTGTTCCAGACAAATGGTTTTCATGGCTGATGCATTCTCGTTAATCTTCTCTGCATATTTACATTAATTCATTTTCTTTGTTATAGATTCCAGCTTCGTCGTCAAACTCTGCAGATATATAAGTTCTAGCACCGTTTCCATACTTGTAATGGTATTGTAAAATCCTTGAGCACATCATGATAAACATTATTTTTAATAACTTTAATTCTTCATTTAAGTAATCAAAGCGTACCAACATAAAAATCAAACTTATTTTCAAATATTTGTCCCTGCATACACTTGACCACTTACCCATTAGGTGGCATCATCCATTAATTGCTTATGTGTCCTGTGCCATATGCATACCACATTGCAAAAGGATTATGATAGAACAGGTTTTTGTGTAAATATTATTATATAAGAAGTGGTGGCCGATATATTTGAAAATTATTGTCATTAATTCATAAATATTATTATCTAGGAAGTGGTGGCCGATATATTTGTAAATTATTGTCATTAATTCACTATAATCTCAATCAACTAAGACTTTACCCAAAGTGCAACAACAGTTTATGACTGTAGGATAAATTTAGCTCAGATTTTGTTGATGCTTGATTTTGACACCAACTAAACACACGTGAGAAATGCTGAGCTGACTCAGAAGACACACGTGTATGGGGGTATTGAACTGAAAAAAAGATGAAGAACGGTGTTTAAAGTGGTTCAGATGCTTAAGTAAGTGAATCTTACGTCCACTTGTATCGTATTAATATATGAGGTCAGGTCGCGTTCAGCGAGCTGACTTACAAAAGATTACAAGAGAGAGAGAGAGAGAGAGAGAGAGAGAGAGAATATAGATGTTAGTCTAGAGAGAAATTAGCTAATCCCACAAACGGGAGAGGAAACCTCTATTTATAGTGGGATGAGTTGAAGTAATGATTACTAAATCAAGGAGTGGGTCAGATTACCGTGCAAATCCTTCCTTATGTCCCGTTGTTCACCTGCTCGAGTGATTTACTCGACGTTTGCAGGGATTGGACACGTGGGTCTTCTCCAGCCTTTCACCAGCCTGGCACACACCCACTGTACTGGCAGAAGCATGCCACTTGCATCAGCATGCGACGTGGCTGCGTCTGAATGGCCACAGGACTTACCTAAGCTTTGACCGCTTACGCTAACAGGGCTCTGTGTTAGCCCTACTTTTCCAGGCATAACAGAAGTCCCCTAGTTTTTAAGATTTGAGAATCGAACCTTGGAAACTACCTATTATGCCTTGATTTGATGCGTTTGACGAGATACTGGTCGATCCGACCTGGTTGTAAGGAGGTCAAAGAAACGTTCCCATGCAAGTGACCTGAAATGACTTACTCTAAGGGTCATCAACTTATTCTTAGACCATATTCAGTGCCATATCGATGACTCTGGTCTTCACGACCTTATTGCACTTAGCGGAATTTTTACCGAAGACAAGGAATCATGTCGCTTTGCAACTAACGTAAGACGATCGAAGAGTCACGTTGCTTCGCGACTGACATAAGACGAAGAGTGTTCTATATAACGACCTCTTCAGATGTTATCCGTTGTACTTTTATAACCTATACATTTAATGAAATATCTTTTGCTCTGACAGACGTGTCCTATGCGCAATAAGTGTCAGCCATACGCATTAAATGCAAGTCATGCTAAAATGACATTCCTTATCAGAGCATTAAATGTGGATGTGGGCGCATTTAATGTGGAGGAGGGAAACGTGCCGTCGCTTGAGTGTTTCAACGGAAGAGAACGACGATTAGGTTTCTTGAAGTGTGACGGTCACTCTTCTTCGTTGATTTGTGACACGTGGTAGCGGTCAACGGTCAGATGCGTTTTCCGCTCAAATATCGTTTGACTTCAAGAAACCAAAGCGTCCCGTCCTTCACTATAAAACCCCAAGCTCACTTTAGGTAATGCCACAATACTCACCTTCTCAGAGAGAGCAAAATTTTTTGTGAGCCTTGGTTCTTTGTCCATCAGACTGGTGTGCACTTGATATTCGAAGCAAGAGATTCATCTTCTCATTCCAAGAGGTAAGGATGGTTTCTCTGCCACTTTTATTATTATTATTTCTTGTTTTCGATAGTCGCCGTGTGATGATAGTCTGCCGGTAGTTGATCGGAGATGAAATATTCTCCTTGGGTTTGAGCCATTTGATGGTGGCTTTAAAAGTACTCTGTTAGGGATTTTCTAGGGTTCAAGGGAGGAAGCCTTTTATTTTCTCCTCCACGTCATTGTACGAAATAGTGTACGAGGACTGAATGATTCCCTACATATCGCTTTTTTCAGACCGTACTAGAATGTACTCCCCAACGACCAGAATTGAGGAGGGGACCAGCTCACTCGTGCAGGATGCTCCTACGGGTCCCCCTTAAAAGATTCTGTCGATGATTACTACCGAGGACATTCAGAAGGTGGTAGACCAATATGCTCTTAGCGTGGAGGTCTTCCAAGATAGGATACACACGGCTTGGAATCCGCCACAAGGGATGGCTGCGATCTCCGAGAACATTTTCAAAAGTGGAGGGTTGATCCCTTTCCACCCTTTTGTCAGGTCGGTCCTCGATCATTTTGGGATCGCACTACTACAGCTAACACCAAACGCATATATGATAGCAGTGGCTATGTATATCGCCTGCGGTGAAAACGGATTAGGCGAGCTAACCGCGCTGGAGCTCAGTTGCTCGTACATCCTGAAGAAAAGTAAGGACAATGACTCATTCTACCTCTCCAAGCGCTCTATGATAGAAGCGGGAATACATAGTTACCCTATCAATGTAGGGGCATATGAGACGAAGTTCTTTTTCTTTCGATACGATGGCATTTGCCACTTTCTGGAGTCGAGTAGATTCTCCTTTCTTTTGAGGTCGCGAATTTCCCTTTTGGTCTTCGCTAATGAGCTTTTTGTTTTTTCGCAGGTAACAAAATGACCAGGTTATCGCTCTTTGAGGATCCACACAGAATCACTACCTTCGATTTTCTACCTGAAGAGAGTTGCGACATAAGGCTGCTCGTGACAACCGCAAATTTGTGGAAGTATGGTTTCTTCAACCCCGAAGCGACCTTAGAGACCCCATCGAGTAAGCTTTTTGACCTTAGCCTGCCTTTTGATTTTTCATGTAGTGAACTATTTTACTAACGATGTTCGTATGTAGCGACCATGCCTCCCAAGGTGCCCAGATCGCCACGACCGAGGCAGTTCACC